CAGGTGGTTAATCACTGATTTCTCACGGTGGAGGCCTGGGTTCATGCCTAGGTCAGCCTTTGTGGGATTTGTGGTGGACAAAGTGGCATTGGGGCACGCTTTTTATTAATATAGTCCTTTGATTAAAATTTTCAGTGTTATTCCACTCTTGCTCCATATTCACTTATGTATCACCTGGGCTCGTTAGAGGCCTCATTTTCACAGACATAGTCTCACCCCATTGCACCAGTAATATATCAGTAATAACTTACAAATTGCAGAAGCAAAATGCAACTAAACATGTGAGAAACAGCATGAATATAATACCAAAAAATGTTTGGGAACAACATAACTTTTATAAAATTTCTACCACAAAAGTCCCAGGGTTCTTGTATTTTAAGAATAATCAGATCTGGTAAAAATACCAACAAACTAAGAATGTTGTGGGATGAACATCTCGTGCTATGAGCAGTCCTTGAATCCCTTGTTATGTTCAGCTAGTTGTGTACAAGTAGGAGGAAGGTGAGAATTCTGGTATAAGTTTAGCTGGAAAGCCCAACCAAGTTGCATCAAGTGTTGGGGGTACAAAATTCGTGGTACAAGATTTTAAATAAATTATAGGGAATCACTTTATGACAATCTGTTGTTGCTTAAAGTATCCTGTTTCTTGCTATCAAGCACCTTTTTATCACCCAGATCTTTGAGTTACTGGTTCAAGTGTTATATCACTTAATATTGTTTTTTGTATTAATATTATTATCTATATTTTAGATATGCCCCATTTATCTTGACAAGCTATTATAACCAATTATTTTACCCTAACTGCTTTTGTTCACCGATGAAGGAATGTTATAAAATTGAGCCTGAAATAAGTGAACTTTTTCACATTGTATTTCAAATTAATCATATATTTTTCAGCATAAGGTTTCCTAATTATGCTGGAAATATAATCATTTTCATTTGTCAAACATTAAAAGGAAGTCATATGTTATATGTTTATTTTGAATTTTGTTTTTGTTGTGGCAGCAAATTTTTATTTATGTGGGTGATTGAACATGGGATATTTCCATTCCTGGAATAACAAACCATTCACCTGTTACAGATGTGGCAGTTTGCACCAAACAGTGTTCACTATCTTCTTAGTCTGTGGCAGAGGATGGTTGCATCTGTTCCGTATGTGAAGGCGACTGAACCTCACCTCTTGGAGACATACACACCTGAAGTCTCTAATGCTTACATCACATCTAGATTGGAATCTGTTGCAATTGTTGTTAGGTATTGCACATTACATTTGTGCGTGTATGTGTTTGCAGTAAAGCGGATAAGGTCTTCTTGGCTCTTGTTATATTCCTTCATTTACTCAACAATATGCATCGAATGTGTGAATATGTTCTCGCCCTGAAACATTTATTTAACTTGTTATTTATTTAGAGAAGGTTTGGAGGACCCTCTTGATGACCTAGGCATGGTCCAGCAGCAGCTTGAACAGTTGTCAGTTATAGGACGCTGTGAATACCAAAAAACCTGTACGTTGCTTGTCCAGTTGTTTGATCAGGCTGCACGAGCATACCAGGAACTCATGGCCACTCCAAATGCTCAGCAACTTGACATCACAATACAGGAAGGTAAATGTTGGCAGCAGAGATAGTTGAAACTATTATGAATTTTGAAGATTGTTAAGATATGTAAGTGGATGTGATAACAAATAATATAAATACTGTTTATTTAAGAAAGGAGGAGAAGCCTTCATATATGGAAGTTGGGTCTGTATATATTGAATGCATAGTTCTGGATGGAAAGCTGACGAGGTGTTGTCCTCAAGCTTTGGAGTTCAGGCTCTTCTCTGTAGAAACTAGCGTGTTACTAAATATTAATGCAGGCCCTCTAACTGGCAGGTTCATGTGAATACAATAACGAACCTTCGGTGGAATTTTTATGGCTAACTCAGCAACTGTCAGCTTCATCAGATTTAGTTATTGGTCTTCCAAGCTGAAATATGATTCTCCTTTTGTGCTACTAGCATTGTTCTTGTTACAGCTTGAATGACTTTGACTTTGTAAAATAACCAGTTGTTGTGATAGTGTCAGTGCTATGTTGGAAATGACAAATTGTGCATTGATTTGTCTCTTATTTGGTGTTTTCATCAAATATAGTTGGTGATAACTGTCTTTGTAGGTCGGCTAACATGGTTGGTGTACATAATCGGATCAGCAATTGGTGGTCGAGTGTCATTTAATAGCAATGAGGAACATGATGCAATGGATGGAGAACTAGTGTGCAGGTAATTTAATTACATTTTGCATTGCATTGCGAGAAAATATCATTGTTCTTATTATTATGGATTTTAAGTATGAATTTGGTAGTAACAGTGTAGAATGAAGAAGCTCACAGAATGCCGGAAACATTATAAAAGATTCTATCATTATACATTCTGCCCTTTACACCAGTGATACTTGGGTATGGAAGTAATTTTACTCCGCGCTTTGTGTTTTTCCATGTCATCTATAAATAACCGGAATTGTTCATGTTTGCATTTTTACTTGCCAAGTCCAGTAGTTTGTTGTCTGAGCATTTTTTCCAGTGGTGAGAGAATTTTCTGGTCTGTTTCTAAAGAAATATTTGTATAATGTGGGTATAATCCATGCAAAATGTATCAAAACCTTAAGAAAACTCTGTCTGCTCTGTAGAGTTTATAATGAACAGAAAGGTGACATGTACTTCTTTCTCTCCCTTAATGCTCCTGAGACAGAGCCCACCAGTTTCTTTAGAAACTGAGTGGGTCAGTTGAGCACCGTGGAGTGATTTCATTTTCAGTTGAATATCAGCATAAGGACAGTGCTGATAGTACTGATCGTGTGGGTTTTTTTTTTCAGGGTGCTACAGTTGATGAATTTAACTGACTCCAGACTGGCTCAAGGAGGTTGTGAGAAACTGGAACTTGCCATGCTCAGTTTCTTTGAGCAGTTCAGAAAAATTTATGTTGGTGATCAGGTTAGACATAGTATTATTTTCTGAAAGTATTTATAGTTTCTTGTTTAACATCTTACAAGACTTAACATTATAAAGCTCATATTTATGTGTAGAAAAATTTGGAAGTAGTACAGTCCAGAACATCATGATAATAAAAAAGGCGTGTGTATTTTGTTTGTGTAACTGATTAATTGATTTGTAGCTTATTAATCTGGATATTACAAGAGCCATTTGCTCAGTAGCATGTTTTTTGTTTTGTCAGGGGGCTTATATAATTCACAGTTTTCTTAATGCAGTGACATCAAATCTTTTTCTGTTGAAATCTGGAAATGGTAAAATAACATGTCACTTCTGAGACATATGCAAATTACTGAGATGGAATTATTTATGTACATCCTTAATTTTTATTTACAGGTGCAAAAGAATTCCAAAGTTTACAGGCGGTTATCTGAAGTATTGGGATTAAGTGACGAATGCATGGTTTTGAGTGTTTTTATTAGGAAAGTGTAAGTACATGTTATGTTACTTCTTATACAGTGAAACCTCTATCCATCGTTCCCGGAACTATCGTTTTCCCGGATGCATCGTACGTTTTGTTCGGTCCCGAATACATCCCATATAAAATAATGTTACATTTTCCCGCTTCTATCGTTCCTCGAACTATCGTTTTATCGCATCGATCGTTCAAAAATCTTAGTCCCGGCCCACAATTTTCCCGCAATGATCGTTTCTGAGAATTTAAAATGCTGGGGTTTGAGATAAATTAATACCGAAAGACGCACAATGTTTTTGGAATACACAGTAGCGGTAACCTGTTATGTCGCCCAACCAGCACAGATTCTTTTGGAATGAGGGGTCAGCGGTGCAGGGGTGATAGTTGGAGTGAATGGCGGTGC